ACAACTTTTTTGGTAAATATTCATCTAGAAGCTTGTTTCTCTATGTTCCTTTGAATCAGAAAACAAAAAAACAACAAACAAGGGAACATACTCTTTTACTGTAGCCACAATTGAAAATGCAAAACTCCGTTTCCACATGATTCAGCAACAAAGTGATCAAGTGAAGTGATTAAGTTATTCAGAGTCCAAAGTTCACTTAAGTTTCAAACGTTCTGGAACTTCATTTTGCGCTTTAGCCATTTCAAAAATTTAAGTCATCTGAAAGTTGAACAACTACAGCTGTGTCATATTGATTCCAGACAGTTCCATATTATAGCTTGCCCAAACTGGGCTTCCAGTGTTTGGTTGTGCTGGCTGAAAGGAATGATACCAAACTGAAATTCAATAAGCTCACTTTATCAAGGGAAGTAAACCTTGGTTTGTTGAGGAAGACCAGCTGTAGAGAAAACAATTGGTCAGACTCAGAATCGCAGCTGAAGTTTGCTAAACAGTCTGCCACTTTTTGTTTTCTGTAAATGTATGGACGATTTTGAGATGGCGATAAACACTTTTTGTTTTCACTAAATTTATGGACGATTTTGAGATGGGAATAAAGCAATCGTATCATCATATATATACTACTTGCAATCTCAAATTCCCGTGCTTGCTTTCCCTAGTCTCACTTTGGAGAACTCGTTCTTCTCCTCAACCCAACTGAAACCAGGGTTCTTGTGGACTCCCTTCTCCTTCATCATCTTCCTTACATTCTCAACCTCTTCCCATTCTCCCTCAGAAGCATGAATATTGGACAGCGTCACAAGACCTCCGGGCCTATTCAACTTCATTCTCAAGATATCTTCTGCTATCTTTTCAGCTAGATCTCTTCTGTTGTGAACTTTACACCCATTGAAGAAAGCCCCAATAATTGAATCTGTGGCTCGAATTGGCATTTCTTTCACAAAACTATAAGCGTCATCCACCCTTCCAGAACGACACAGAAGATCCACGACACAAGCATAATGCTCCTTGCTGGCTTCAATACCATACATTTCTCTCATGCACCTAAAAATTGTCAAACCTTTCTCAACTAATCCACCATGGCTACAAGCAGAAAGAACACAGATTAAAGTGACTTGATTTGCCTGCATTTCTCTATCTTGCATCGTCTCAAACAGTTGGATCGCACAATCAACCAGGCCATGCTTCCCATAACATCCTATCATAGCATTCCATGATGCAACATTCTTAATAGGAATCTCATTAAACACATTCCGAGCATCTTTAACACTTCCACATTTGGAGTATATGTCAATAAGAGCGCTAGTGACAAAGACATTCATATAAAGAACCATCCTGTATATGAGGCCATGGATTCCTTTCCCTATTTGAATTGAATTCATCAATGCACATGCAGGAAGCAGCCCTGTAACAGTCACATGGTTAGGCTTAATTCCGGCAATCAACATGTCCCGGAACACCTCCAGAGCTTCAACAGCACATTGGCCTTGAACTAATCCTGAAATCATTGCGTTCCAAGTAACCAAATCTGGAGGCAGACCCTCTTCACTCATTCTAGAGAACAATGCAAAAGCTCCATCACAAAGTCCTTTTCTAGCATACCCTGCTATCAGCGCATTCCACGTGAAATCATTCGGTCTCAAACCTTCTAACTTCATTGCATCAAACAGGACAAGTGATTGCTCAATCATTCCAACACTAGAATACCCACAAATCATTGACGTCCAAGAAACAATATCTGTCTTAGCCATTCTATCAAACACTCTCCGAGCATAACTTATTCTACCACATTTGCAATACATATCAATTAAAGCATTGCACACAGACACATCCGATTCAGAACCTACTTTATGTACCGCATTATGAACTTCTCTGCCCTTATTCACATCCATCAAACCAACAATAGCTTTCAATGCAATCGAAAACGTATAATTATTCGGTATATTTCTTGATTCTTGAAAGAAAGATAAGTACCCAATTGCCTGTTCATAGTACCCATTAAATGCCATAGCTGAAATCATCCAGTTCAACGCAAAAACATTTGCGTTTTGTGTTTCTTGGAAGATTAACTCAGCAGATATCAAATCCGCACAACTTGCATATACACCCACAAGCCTAGACTTCAAAGACAATGAGTTCATATCAACACCAGAAGCTAACAATTTACCATGAACTTGCTTGCATGGTTTTAGAGCTTTTGATTTGATGCAACTTTGCAATAAGGAGCTCAAATGGCGTGGAGACAAGTTAGCTGATGACAGCAATGGGTATTTCATGTTCTCCCATGTGGGGGTTAAGGTTGGATTTTGAACCAGTCTAGTTTACAGATGATAAACCCAGAAAAATCAAGCAATTTCAATATATTTCAATATTCTTAGAAGACTTAATTGGTTTCTTATTCATTGTTAAAGTTGTCAAAATTCGACACGACACGATTAATCGATATGAATTAAACGAGTTTGAGTGATAAATGGGTTGATACGTCAAATACGTTTAATAAACGGGTCGTATTCGAGGGAGACTATTAAACCGTTTATCACATATTTATCCGTTTAAATAAAATTAATATAATAATAAATTAATAATTATTTTAAAAAATAAGCAAGAAAAAAAATCAATAAAAAAAAAAAGTAAAGTAGTAGTTTAAAGACAAAAGAGAGGAGAAGAAGAGTACTTCAAAGACAAAGTAAACCAATGTTTTTTATTTTTGTTCCACATTGAAAAATGAGGGGAGATGAGGAAGGTTGAGTTGCCTATAAAAAGCAATGACCTCTTTTTTTTTTTTTTAAGCATTTAAGTCTTATTTTTATGAGATTTGACTAAAAAATTCTCTTTTTTTTTGAGGTAAGTGCAATTGACAATAAAAAAAAGTGGAGTATTAAAATTTGTTAATATAATTTTTTTAAAATTAAACGGGTTAAACGAGTCGTGTCGTGTTACCTATTTATTAAATGAGTCGTGTTCGTGTTGAGAGTTTTTACCTGTTTATTAAACGTGTCGTATACGAGTTTATATATTTTTCACTTGTCACCTGTTTAACCCGATACGTAACCGTTTAATTCGACACGTTTGACACCCCTATTCATGATCCCTTCACCATTTATCCATGTTTCCAAAGCCAGGGACATTGTGCATGGTAAAATTTGAGGGAAACTCTATTTATGAAATTATTTTATTGTATCATATCGCATTACTCTTTATGTTTTTGTTCAGTATAACATTATTCTTTATAAAATTATTTTATTGTATCATATCACATTTTTGTGAGGTGTTTGAGATGGATATTGGCATATTAACATTGATCTAAACAAATCAAAAAGTTATAACTGATATCTTAATTTGAGCTGACCCCCTAAAAAGATGTAGGTTAACCCTAAAAATTATTTATTTTTTGAGATTATTTTTTATTGCAATTTTACACCTAAAAATTATAAGTTTTGGTACTATAGTTTCACGAACAAATTAATTGTCAGAATATGACATTTTAGCGAACCAATGGCACCGCTGGTTATAGCAAAACTTCCCCTAGAAAAAAAGAATCATACTTGATGGCGTGAATAACTAGAAGGTATGAGTAGCTCTAATTAAATGAGTTTTGAGCTATGTCGGAGATTTAGAAGTGAGTGATTCGCAGGTGGAGCAAAACATAGTCCCTTAAATCTGTTAGAATTAATTGGAGAATATTTGGCCGTTATAGACAACCTTCCCAAAGGCCACGTGGGTTTCTAGAAATAGTGAGGTGGCATTCTTTGAGGTAGTGGCTTGATGTCCAAGGTAAACCTCATAGCATGGGCTCTCCTTCTTCTCTGTGTGACGAATCCTGAGCTGTCCTAGCTAGGTCCGAGTTGCATTGCCTTCTTGAATGAGCTGGAGTTGTGTCCTTCAGGTCAGATCGCCCGAGCTCAGTCGGTCATTAGTTAACCAAAGGTTGGGGGTTGAGCCGTCTCAGACTGCAGGTCATTATAACTTGGCTGTACTTTTAGGCGTGTAATCGATATGACGTGAAAAGATTTTTTAGCTAAGTGAGTGTAGTTATGCTGGCACATTGTGTACTTGCTGCCTCAATCTTCGAGACACTTTCATCGTGTACATATATGTGTCCAAGACCTCAGATTCATTGAATGCGTGTCCAACACATTAATTGAGGGGATTTAACTGCCAGAATCGAAAACTTTTCTTCTTTATCTTCTTCATCCAGAGATAGAGAGAGACTTTGGGATCCTTATGGTACGCATTTCTCCTTTTCTTCACCTTGGATTGAATTGATCCTTGGGTTTCAATTTGTAGTCCTTAGGCTCTGTTACCTTAGGAGCCATCATAATTCCCTAGAGACAAGAGCTTCGACCCTAGGGAAATCGAGGACTATTCTTTGAATTTGTCGCTATTATATTGTAGTTTGAGGTGTAGAGTTCCTATGGTTAGGATCGAGTCTAACTTTGCCTCCTCGGCTACTTGTTCCTCCATTTCTTTAATGTGGAGGTGGCAGTGAGGAGGAAACGATGAGATCTTCCCCCAAAGAGAAGGATCTCACTTTTGGAGGAGGTCTAAGCTAGTTGTCATTGATATTGATGAACTAGAGCTGCCTGAGAAGGTACCCTTGGTGGGGTCCTCCAAAAAACCTATAAGGAGGAAACTAGGGTATTCGGGGGGTGCTTCCACTTTAGCAGGTCCCAAGAAATAGAGGGCTTCTTGGGATCTGATTAACTTGTCCTACTGTGCGGCCTCTATTTGGAGTAGGTTCGATGATGATTGAGCTTATGCCATTAGGGAGGAGTATGGCTTCCCTGACAACGTGATGATCCACATTCCAGACGTTGAGGATTGTTGTAACGTTCCTCGTCCTAAGATGGTCTACTTTTTTGAAGCAGCCTTTTAGTCGAGCTTGAGTTTCCCCATGCACCCATTTATCTGAGAAACCCTTATTCATTATAACTTGTGCCCTACCAGGGTGTCCCCAAATGGCTGGGGACTCTTGGTGAGTTTTCTAGTCCATTGGGGAGAGAATGGCATTGAGTCTCACCCAACTATTTCTGTGCAATCCTGTATCGACCGTTCAGATACTCTCGGCCATCGTTCTTGATGAAGACTTTCGCGAGGCTGGAGAGCTAAGGTTTAGCAACAAGGTTGCTAATGCTCTCCATGGTTTGTCTGCGATAAGGCTTTTCTTGCTTCTGAATTTCCTATGTGTGGGTTATACTTCTAATTATTCTACCGTTGCTTGCAGTCTATCACCTACATCAAGTGCATGAGCCTCCAAGCTCAAGGATTTAATCAAGCTGTGCAATGAAAAGAATCTCAAATTAACTGCTTACAAGTATAGGCTCAGGGCCTTCCACCATGAATTAAAGGATCTTTAGACTTCAGACAGTTCTTTGAAGAAGAAACTGGCCTCTAAAGGGTTGAACTTTCCAAGCTGGTCGCAGAAGTTAATGCAACCAAATATGAGAAGACTAAGGCCAAGGAAGAAGTAGCATAGCTGAAGGCTGATCTGCATAGCGCCTCTCAAGTGCGCTCTAAGCTGGAAGGGGCTTTGAAAGAGCTAGAAGCAACTTTGATGGCCAAGAATGAAGAAGTTGAGAAGCCCAAAGAGGAAGCTGCTGGTGGGTTTCTTGAAGGATTCGACAACTTCAGAGAGCAAACCCAAGCCAATTTTTTCTGAAGAAGGAGCTCATGAGGAGCCACCAGATACCCCAATTAAGGGAGCTATTGGGGAAAGTCAGCAAAAAGAGTGAGCTGAGGCACCGCTAAGCAGCAAGAGACTGAACATGAGGCAAACTGAAGAGTTGCCTTTCTTGTTATGTCAAGCACTTGTAAAAGTTTTTGTGTTTGTAAAAATTTCCAAGTGTTTGAAACTTTTCTTCTTGTCCTTATTGTTAGATAATGTTTTGTAATTGACTAATTTCGTGGAGTCCATTATAAAATTTTAACCACTTTCAGGATCATAATGCTATCAAGCTCAATATTCAAAAGCAACATTGAAGGGAGGAGATCAAATGTCAAAGTTACATCATTCAACCTTCGTATGAACCTTCATGCCTAAGACAAAGGTAATGACCTAAACACCTAAGATGAGCCCTTAGTTATTTTTAATGTAGGATGATTATGATGGAAAATACAATTGAAAGTGATCCGATTATGCATCATAGGGATTTTCAAAGAAAATTTTTTTTCAACCAATTTTGTATCTTGAAAAAATAGTTCGAGTAACAATTGGATCACTACAAGAAACTAGGATTTTGCTTCGGCTAAATGCTGAAGAAAATACTCTATTTTTTACGTCGGCATGTTCTTCCGAAGTAAAAAATTCAATATTTGTTTCGACAAGAGGCTAAAACTAAAAAATACGAGTATTTGCTTCAGGACTGAGTCGAAGCAAAAACTTTAGTTCAAAACGATGTAGTTTAACAAAATGACATTGTTTTGAACCCTAATAATCCAACCTCCCTTCCCCTCCTCCCTTTACATTTCCCTCTTCTCCATTTGAAGAAATGCTAAAAAAAAGGTGTAGAAGATTGGAAGAATAAAGATAAATGGAATTAGAGGGACGAGTTACCTCTGAATGGAGAATACAGGGTTGTTTGATTTGGTACTTCCTCAAGGATGCAAGACAGTGAAAATACAAGATCTTTTATATTTGAAAATACTGCCAAACAAATTGATATTTAAAATATATTTTCACTTTTATTTTTCTTTTATCCTTCTTTGTAAGGTTTAAGAATCAACAATCAAAATCACAAACTTGATTCCATGTGTCAATTTTTTTTTAGATTAATACGAAAAACTTATATTTTATTATTTAAATTCTTAAAAAGTATTCTTCATTATAATAAGATATTTTATTTAATTGTACTACATTTTGTACATAATTAACCTTATTTGGGCATTTAATAGGGGTTAGAAATAATTTTTTTTTCTAAAATGTATCCCCAATTTGCAAATTTAATTTCTAAATTCGTAGATCTAATGATATGAATTCGCTAATTTGTATTTTGAATTCACAAAATAGTTACTTTAAATTCACAAAATTTTGTGATACTAAATTTGCAATTAGTAAAACTGAATTCATGAATTCAACAAATTGAGAGCGCATATTTAAGACGAATTTTCCCTCAAAGTGTAAATATGCGCGCAAAGCCATAAAGAGTAGGTGTTTTTGGTGAATCAAGTGGCTCAGAATAGAAAACTGATTAGATATTAAAAAGAAATTCACAAATATATATAATTAGAAACTTTAGTCTAATACTTGTGGACAAATGAGGAGTGATAATTGTATCGTGGATTTGCGTCAAGCATTTATCAATCCTAATCCAACTCTCTTAATATATCATGTCACACTAATCCAATCTGTTTATTTTTGTATCATGTTGGTATTGACTCATATAACATGTGAATAAAAAATACAAAATTAAGATTTGAGTCTAACATTCTATTATCGCTTAACCAAACACACACTCAAAAAAACTAAAAATTAACTTGATGATGCACAAAAGTGGACTTATACACCACATATCAAGTATTTAATGCAATAGTAAATAATGAGAGACAACACAAGAAAAACATAATTTAAGTGGTTCGGTCAAGATGACCTACTCCACTGTGAAGAGTTAGGATGACCTGAGTGTTTTATTGTTTCAAGGGGTGTTGGGTGCTCAAGTGTGAGATGCCCCCCATGTGTCGGTGGGACTTACAATTTATAAGTACCTCCTAATAGATTGAGGCACCACATTCGTCACATATAGGCTAGTTTGGTGGTGGTGGCACTATTCTCTCAATAGACGGGATAGTTGCTTGGAGATGGCGTGAAGATCTCTTTATCAGTTGTAGACTAAGTCTTAGGATGGCGTGGCTCTAGGATAGCGTGGCTAAATCCTTCACTCTAGGATGGCGTGGTTGACTATGTTTTGGGGAGCCCAATTATATTTGGGTCTCTTTTGAGCCAGGCTCACTGGTCCAGATTTGGGCCTAGCCCATTATCTAAGTTGGGGCTTGGGTCGGGCCCATAATTTACCCCTATGCCCAGAGCCCAATGATTTGGGGGAGAGGACATTAGCTGGTCCAACTGCGGCTGAACTCTTTTCCTTGATGAGTACTCCTTTTGGAGGCTTATCTTTCTTTTTAGATATGGTTTATCGCCGTTCTGATGGGAATTTCTCAAGGTCAATCTTACTTTAATTCGGATACTTGAATGCCAATCCAACTAGGTAACTACCAAACTTGGGCTATAAATAGATCCCTATTCCTTTCCTTATGTTCCCTTCCTTGAGAGGATTAGACTGAAGAGAAATGCAAGGAAGAGGCGGCATGAGTGAAGCACGCATGAGTGAGACAGAATGGTCACTGAGGCAGCTAGCGTGGGCACCGAGGTGGCTAGTGTGGGTGCCAAGGTGATGGACACTGGCGTCGGGGCTAGTGTGGGAGCCAGACTTTTGGTGCGGGCACTAATTTAGGTGCGGACTAGGGCGCCTAGAGCCCAGACACAGGCAGAGGCATAAGTGTGGGTGCTGAAGCTTGTCGAGACGTGGAAGTGGGCACTCAGGGCGCTATGGCTGGCATTGGTACATGGACAAATGCAAGTATAGGAGTAGGCACAGGAGCCTAGGCCTAGGTGGCAGGTGCCGCGACACAGGCATTCGGGATAAGTGCCAAAAATGAGTTGCACGTGGAGATAGGCATTGGGTAAATGGCAAGAGGCAATGGTGGTAGTGCTCATCCTCATCCGTGACGATGCAAGTATCGTGGTAAACTGGCGACTAATGACGATGGCTCTAAGTTGAAGTTTATCTCTAGTTCCCTCAGCACTGATGCTAAGATTGTTGGATTATATCCACTTTTCGCATTCCACTAGTGGTGTTACGCTGTCGGGCTGAGATAGGTGAGCTAGCGTCTGGTGCCTCCTTGAGAGATATTGCTATTTATAAGGAGGTACTTGATGCAGGGTTAAAGTTTCCCATACCTCCTCTTATTTGCCGAATCCTTCATTTTTTTTCACTCAAGCTAGGGCACTTGATGCCTAATGGTTGTAGAGTTCTGCTGGGATTTCTTGCATTATGGAGTAGGGTGCATTATGAGGATGCCTCCCCTAAAGAGTTTTCTAACGCCTATACTTTGACTGAAACTCCTGTTCCCAACCATAGCTAGCGTCACTTTACTCTAAAGGGAAGAAAATTAATTGTTGGCTTGTGCTCCAACTGCCATAGCCAAAAGACTCAATTATTGTTTGTAGTAGGATAGTGGGCTTTAGAGGTGGATAGGGCTTTGGCACCAATGAGATAGGGCATTCCCAAGAGAATAGGTATAGCTACTCTCATTTTTTATGGGTATTAACCATTTTTTTTCCAAGCTCCCCAGTGCTCTTAGCGAATAAGGAGTGGAAGTTTCACGTTGTGAGGGTCTATCCTATAAAGGATTTCGAGACCCTGATGCTTAGAGAAGGTGAGGCTAGGGGACTCTCCTTCTAGAGGTGCTAGAGGTGGTGTGTCTTCTTCCATGGCTGACAGCTCTTCATCAAAGATAAAATGTATATTGGCTTCCTTTAGATTTTTCTATTTTTTTTATACTAACACTTCACCCTTCTACAGTAGATGGGACAGTGGCGGAGCCCCTATTATTCTACTAGGGGTACTCCTCCACCCAAGATGGTCGGGGTGGATGATGTTCTAGCGGCCCCTTCTTAGGTGACCCCCCAATAGCTCCTCCCCAGATAGCCTTTTCGGTGATTCCTCCTGAGGTTCCTCCAATTGTCACTCCAGAGGTGATTTCCCCTCCAGTGGCTCCACAGGTGACTGCCCATTCTGCTCCCCATACATCTGATTCTCAAGCAAGGGATTTTTTAGAGGCAGGCTCTCAGATGTTGTCCATGCTGGATGATGTGCGGATCGTAAGGGCCCTGCAGAGATTTGTGTCGCCTATAGAGATCGCGCAGGTTGTTGTTTGGGCATTGAGAGCATTATTGACACTGTCCTAGGAGGCTTGGCTTAGGTAAGCAGCTGTTCTCTATCTTGCCTTTGTGTCTCCTTTTTGGAGCTGACTTTCCTTTATCTTTTTCAGGTTTTTACTACTTCTGTATGCCTTTTCTCAAGGGTTGTTCATCTCAGCCAGCTACAATCAACCGTTAAGGAGGACAGACTTGCACATGAATCTATAAAAGGGGGACTTGTTGGCAGCTCAGGAGAGAATTGCCAAGCTTGAGGTTAACGGTGAGGCTTCCCAAGCAGAGCTTGTGGCAACCCTTGAGAAGGTCATCCTTAGTGAGACTTCCAGCTCGAGGGTAGAGATAGAGCTTGTGGTGACCTATGAGAGGGTCGCACTTAGTGGGCTGCTTGCACGAGGGCAAAGATAGAGCTTGTGGCAAACTGCGAAAGAGCTACTAAGCTGGAGGCTGATGGAAAGACCGCCCGCTTGAGAGCGGAGGTAGAGTTGGAGGTAGCTCGTGAGAGGGCTTCCCAAGCTAAGGCAGATCTGTAATAGGCCTATGAGAGGGTTGCCAAAGTTGAGGCTGATTCAAAGGGTGGCTTCATAGATACCTTTATTGACAACTACGAGGAGCTTAAGGGCAAAATTTCTGCTGCCTTCACTGATATTGACTTCTCAGGGTTTGTTCCACGTGAGGCACCCCCGAATGATGACGACAATGATAATGATGATGATGGGGACTTTGAT